AAACCACTGGGCAGTTACAAAGGTATTTTGCCCAGTCCTGAAACAATGTGTGTTATTGGCCTTGAGCTATGGGACATGTTTGAGTTTATTTTTTGGATGTTTGCGAGGCACAAATAACTCAGGGAGGAGCCATATGTCATTACCCAGGATCCATTCTAGAGGTAATGTAGAGATTTTCTTTTTGTTGTTGTTGTTGTTGTTGTTGTTGTTTTTTGGAGAATGGAGCTTCACTCTTGTTGCCCAGGCTGGAGTACAATGGCATGATTTCGGCTCACCGCAACCTCCACTCCCAGGTTCAAGCAATTCTCCTTCCTCAGCATCTCGAGGAATTACAGGCACATGCCACCAAGCCTGGCTAATTTTTGTATTTTTAGTAGAGATGAGGTTTTGTCATGTTGGCCATGATGAAACCTCCAGGCTGGATGAAACTCACCTGAGCTCCTGATCTCAGGTGATCTGCCAGCCTCATCCTCCCAAAGTGCTGGGATTACAGGTGTGAGCCACTGGACCCAGCCTCTTTTGGGGTCTTTAGACAGGGTTTTGCCCTGTCATCCAGGCTGGAGTGCAGTGGCGTGATTATAGCTCACTGTAGCCTACAATTCCTGGCCTCAAGGGAATCTCTTACTTCTGTCTCCTAAGTAGTTGGAGCTACAGGAACATGCCACCACACTTGGCTAATGTTTTTAAAAATTTTTGTAGAGACAGGGTCTAGTTTTATGGCCCAGGCTGGTCTCAAACTCCTGGCCTCTAGCAATCCTCCCACCTTGGCCTCCCAGTGCTGGGATTATAGGCTTGAGCCACTGGACCCAGCCCCTAGATAATTTAAGCAAAGCTGTAGTTCCACAGAGCTAGAAGAAAACTCACTGAGGGTTTATAAAGCATGGTGCTAAATACATTTATACTAGTTATTGTTCTGAGGGGAGATGTTATTATTAACAGCTTTGAGCTTTTGTTCAATTTGAAGGATTAGAGTTTCTTTTAAGGTGCTTTTGTTTAAGCTGTTACATGGGAGATGGTCTTGCAGAGAGGCTTTTAAAAACAAATTTCAATTTCAAGGGAAGTGAAATAGCAACATTAACATCAGTGCAGTTTTGTTTGTTTGTTTTTTGAAACCCTGAAACGTTTTTTATTTTTTGAAATGAGTCAGAGTCTTGCTGTGTTGCTCAGGCTGGAGTGCAGTGGCACAATCTCAGCTCACTGCAACCTCTGCCTCCCAGGTTCAAGCAATTATCCTGCCTCAGCATCCCAAGTAGCTGGGATTACAGGCGCGTGCCACCATACCTGGTTAGTTTTTTATATTTTTAGTAGAGACAGGGTTTCACCATGTTGGCCAGGCTGGTCTCGAACTCCTGACCTCAAGTGATCTGCCCTCGGCCTCCCAAAGTGCTGGGATTACAGGCATGAGCCATGGGCCCAGCCTGAAACTTTCCTTTTAATCTCAAAACAAAATGGCAATACTTTTGCCATTATATATGCTTAACATTTATAAACTAAAAACTGAACTCAAAAGCATAATTAAATCATATTTTATTGCAAATGAAAAATATACAAACATTTAAGATTTATAAACTTTCTAAAATGAACAGTATAAACACTTGCAAAATATAAGACTTCATGAACAGTTTATTCAAAATATTTGAGAATATTTCATATATTCATATGTTTTTCTGCAAAGCTTTGTTGGAAGGGGAAAATAGCATTTAGTTCAGTTTTTCTGGTTTTATTAAGAAAAATATTTTTGTTGGAATACTTTTGTATTGGCGTTGAGATAGTACGATGAATTCACTTTCACTCGCATTATTTAAAATGAGATAATGTGACAAATTGAGAAATGATGAATGTATAAAAATCGGCACTCAATGGTCCTTAAGTCTCTAGTGACAAGACTGTAAGAATTCAAATGCTGATTCAAAGAAAAGTAAATTTTACTAAGTGCCTATTATCAAGCATAATGCCAGATCCTTTCCATATATTTAATACTTTAAAATATGTGTTAATTTCATGTGCTAAATCTAAAGGGTCTTATGAAAATTGTGGAATCTGAACTTATAATAAATAACCATTGACCTAAGAATAACATTGTAAAACAAAAGTATAATGAAACTTATCTTTACAGAAGTAGGAAAATCTTTCCATTTGTCCTGTGTGAGCACAACTTTGTAATCCTTAACGACACACATGCAGATATTCGCATAAGAAATTTTAAGATATGTACATGATGACAAAGTATTAAAATATATACATAAACTACCAGTTAAGACTAATAGTCTGAACATAGGGATCCAGCATTTTATTCTTCCTTAGACAGTATCTTCCCATTTGGGATTTCTTTTTTTTTTGAGATGGAGTCTTGCTGTCACCCAGGCTGGAGTGCGGTGGTGAAATATTGGCTCACTGCAACCTGCCCCTCCTGGGTTCAAGCAATTCTCTGTCTCAGCCTCCAGAGTAGCTGGGATTATAGGCACCTGGCACCATGCCTGGCTGATTTTTGTATTTTTGGTAGAAACAGGGTTTCACCATGTTGGCCAGGCTGGTCTTGAACTCCTGACCTGATGATCTACCTGCCTCAGCCTCGCAAAGTGCTGGGATTACAGGTGTGAGCCACTGCACCCAGCCAAAAATTTTTTAGTGTTAGATTTGCAATAATAGTTTGGTTTTTTTAAATGCATTTTTTAAAATGCATCAGTAACTTTTATGTAGACAGTTTTCAAATATTTCATTGTTTCTCAGCATACTTCAACTCATTAAATATTTCACAGTCTTCCTCCTGGGCATGCATACATGTCAACACCAGTTCAATTTCCTGTCCAGGGTACACAATGAACCTTGTGTTTGGGAACCTTTGACCTGCTCATAACGTACCAAGGGCAAACAGTTTGTAAAAGGTGACACAAAGAAATGTCTGAAACTTAAATTCACCAGAACAGAGAATCAGCAGAGTCCCAGGTTGGATGTCAAGAAAAATGCCATTGATTTCCTCACCAAGAAGGTGTCCTAGAGAGATCAATAACATTCTTAATATTAAAAGAATATTAAAATTTCTGCAATTTTCAAATACCACTTTATCAGAAGATACTATTCTGGGGCAGGGTCTCACTCTGTCACCTAGGCTGGAATGCAGCGGTGCAATCATAACTTACTGCAGCCTTGAACTCCTAAGCTCAAATGATCCTCCTGATTCAGCCTCCTGATATTTTTTACATTTTTTAGAGAGGTGGGGTCTAGCTTTGTTGCCCAGACTGGTCTCAAACTCCTGGCGATTAGAAATCCTCCCACCTGAGCCCCGCACAGTGTTGGAATTACAGGTGTGAGCCACTGCCTAGCCAAAAGATACTTTTCCTACAAACTTGTGTTCATAGCTTATATATCTGATATACAAGTAAAGTGAAACAGCAATCAACAGAGTAAACACGTATATGACCTGATGTATCAACCCATGGACCTTCCATGATTATTGATTTTCAAAAACGTAGAATGCATTAGAATTACACTCAACACTAAACTATGCTGAAAAGACTATAATGGATAATGGAACATTAGGGCCTTGCAGCCATCTCAGGTAGGTTGTCATTGTGAACATCAGTCATTGTTTAACAGAACTGCGGAAATGCCGAAGTCAGTTTAATTGAATTCCGAATAATAAAGTTTACCATTATTACCTTGGGTAGTCTTGAACTAGCTTAGAAACAAAAACCAAACCTAATAACATTTAAGGTTAGAGCAGAAAAACATTCAGTCAACCTGCTTTTTTTTTTTTTTTTTTTTTTTATGACAACTTTTTGGTTAGGATTTTTGTTTTGAGAAAAATAAGATTAGTATAAAAATAAGATAGCCAATTTATTTTCCATAAAATCAATGTGACAGAAAATCTGTCCATTACATTAAAGACCACCAAAAATGTTATTCCTGCCATGCATTTGAAATGAGAGAGGAAAATTTTATAAACGTTTTAATGTGCAAAAAAGGTATTTTCCTGCAGTAGCCCCTGAGATCTTAGTATTTTGTTTGCCAGGAAGTTAACTTTCTATCCTATTAGAATATACCTATTTTTAAAGGTTAGTAACTAATTATAATTTCCTTAATAAGGGTGAAAGTGCAAAATTTCAAGAGAGCCCTTGTGATACTTTGTTCAGATTTTTCACAAAGATTTTTCTAGTTGCTTCCAGTCTGTGGAAAACCCACTCTTTAGGGTTAAAACATTTGAGAGCAATTGAAGTGTAGGATACAATCCTGAATAATGTAGCAATCTTTTACAAAAATCTCTATATCAACAAGAAAAATAACCTTTAGGATAATACTAAAAGAAAGGAAAAAAAAAATGAACATAAGTGACTCCAAAGCTGAATTCACCCGGACTTCTTCAGAAACTCCATTTTGTCCTATGTCTTCCAGACCTGAGTTACTTAATGGAACCTGTGAAAACAATCACGCGTCTGTGTTTTTGTGAGAAGAAAACGTTTTCCTTTATGTGAAGTACTTTTCTCTTCCTACGTTCTCCCTCTTTAACTGGTGGTAAATTCCTATGGTATGTCGGTGAGTCACAATTCATAAACTCTTTATGGGTGGCTGTGTCTTGTGTATTCTAGCCCACTAACAAATAAAGCAGGCTATTTTTTTTTTAATTTCTTTTTTCTTAAAATAACTAATTAATTATCTAGTTTAAGAAGGAAGGTGCAGAAGGAAGAACAAAGCACCTGTGATCTCACTTCTCAATTTAAAAAAAAGTTTTTTAAAGCAAAAGCCCCTTGCCCTTTTTCTTCTTTTTTGAGACAGGGTCTTACTTTGTCACCCAGGCTGGAGCGCAGTAGTGCAACCTGGGCTCGTGGCAGCCCCAACCTTGCAGACTCAAGCGATCCTCCCACTTCAGCCTCAAGTGGTTGGGACTATAGGCATGTGCCACCATGCCTGACTAATTTTTGTATTTTTTGTAGAGACAGGGTCTCCCCTTGTGGCCCAGGGTGGTCTCAAACTCCTGAGCTCAAGTGATCTGCCCGCCTTGGCCTCCCAAAGTGCTAGGATTACAGGTGTGAACCACCATACCTGGCCTCTCTTCTCAGTTTTAATAATTTGAAATTATGACTCAACGGAGAATATGACTGATACTGTGTCTGTCAGAACACTGCTAACTTTATATTGGTGAATGACTGTGAGTCTAAAAATAGCCACCAAAGAAATGAAGAGCCACCTGGCAGAGACAAAGATATTGTGACCAGAAGAAGGAGATTATTCTGAGACACACATAGCACTTTGACTTCTTTGATCCTTAGAGAGTATTTCAAAGTTTGTAGAAATGAAAAGCAGCAGAAGTCTTCTGGAGGATAATCAATTTGATTTTCAAATTCGACTGCCAAAAAAATGGCATTTTTACGTGGCCTCACATCTAAATTAGTTAAAACTGTAAAAATGCTAACTTTCCTAGCATTTCTTCCAGGAAGCAAGCATTCATTTTCCTCTTCGTGTGTCTCATATTGGTTAAAACTCAGTGTTTCTAGAGACTTCAGTCATCAGTTCTACTAAACAAGGTAACGTCATCATTGTATCCCGGGGCTGAACACTCCAAGTTCTCTAGTAAAACATAATTGTTTTCATTGACATTCAGAGAGATGGCTTCTTTCTTAGCAGTGGATGTAAGCTCACTCCAAGTAATGTCAGTATTTTTAAAAGCATGTAGAAGGAAGATGCCAATGATAATAGTGAAGAATCCACTCAGGGTCCCAATGATGTCTCCAGCTGTCATGCCATACCACTCTTGGAATAAGACGGCAGAGCAAGTGACTACCATGGATGTGAAGAATACATAATAAATGGGTGTCACAAGAGAGGTATTAAAGGTGTCCAGTGCCTTGTTGAGATAGTTAATCTGTGTAGTTACTGAAAGCACAAGTACAGCCAGCAAAACAAAGACCAGAGGATGTTTGTAAACTGGCTTCCATTCTATCAGCTCCTTAATGGCAATTCCCAGGCCTTTGACAGAAGAAACTGAAAACGCTCCAATCAAGGAACAGATTGAAATATAAACCAATATATTGGTCTGTCCTTTCTTTGGAGCCACAATCAAAATCAGCACCAAGGAGATCACAGTTATGATCACAGCAAAAGAAATAAACCCTGTTAGGAGGAGAAAAGAATTTGACGTTAGAAAATGCTCACAGGATTATACCTTTCTGAAATCTTGTTAGTCATGAGTTTAAGAGCATAGGTATTTTAGAAATAGAAGTGAGATCAAATTAAAAACAACATTATATTGCATAGCTCTCAATATTTTACGAAGAATTTTCACAAACGTATCATTTAAATGTCACCAATACCACTATGAGCTAGGGCAAATATTATCAGAGTAATTTTTTATTTTCAGAGGAAGAAAGTGGCAAAGAATTGATTTTGAATATGTCTCTTGCCTCTACCATCGCCATCTCTCCCTTTCATTGTGTAAGACGGGAAGCATGAACACAAAAATAAGTTCTGCCATCTTTTCAGGAGAAATAATAATCAAACCTCACTGTGTCTCACAACCCACAATGCAGCCCACAATGTAGAAAGTTTATTACAATATTATTACAGATACTATTTCGTGAGGAGAGAAAGTGGAGCAGAATTTGAGTGGTTCTTTAGGGTGAATCACAGACCTGGGTCTCTCAATTTCATTTCCATTTCATGCAAAGATGTGACTTCCTCTTCTTGTGGGGCATGGATAACCATCACAGTTGACCCCAATATACTTAATATGCAGCCTATTTTCCCATGAATGTTCAAGTGTTCGTTTAAAAAGTAGGAAGATAATATTGCACTGTTGGGAGAGAAAAAATAAAAAATCACTATAGTTCAATTACCTTTGGATCCCATGGCAGCTCAGAAGTCACACTGTGGTACATGCCACCATATATCCCAATGAGCTGACTGGAATACGCTATATGACACTGAAAACCCGAGATTGGTTTGAAACTCAGAACTGATGGGCAAATATGCTTCATTGTTTTTATATCTAAAAAGCTATAATATTCTATATCTTATAATCTTCCAGTGATCTTACAAGAGGTTCTACTCAAGTCATTTTCAATTTACCCATCTTTTCCTGTAAAGCCAAGCAAAATAGAAAATCTTTTATTTCTTACTGGCATGATACATTTAGAATATGTATGCCCATGGATATTTCAAAGAAAGATATATTCCTAAAGAAAAATTACTCTGCTCAGGGCTAATAATCAGCTAGTTCATACCACTACAATCAAACGGACCAGGGGTATTCAATCTTTTGGCTTCCCTAGGCCACACTGGAAGAATTGTCTTGGGCAACACATAATACATACTAACAGTAATGATAGCTAATGAGCAAAAGAAAAAAAATCACAAAAAAACTCATAATGTTTTAAGACAGTTTACAAATTTATGTTGGGCCGCGTTCAAAGCTGTCCTGGGCCACATGCAGCCCATGGGCCATGGGTTAGAGAAGCTTGACGCAGATTTTCAAAATATCAAAATACTTTACCACCTGCTACTGCTCTGATACTTAGACCTATCCGGTACTCCTAATATTTCAGTTGCTGTGGTTTCTGCAAACCAGCCTTCTTCCTCTAATGCCCTGTATCCCCATGAAGGCAATTAAGTGCCCATCTGTCCTCAAGATTATGATCAATTCATTACCAGGGACTTTCCTAAAGTTGCCCTCATGTGGCCACTTGTAGGACTGCAGCCTTAGTGAAGACTACTGTTACTACAACTAGCTATTCATTGCATAGACAAGTGTTCGAAGTGCTTTATGTGTATTAACTCACTTAATTCTCACAACAATCCTATAAAGAAGCTAAAAAGAATTTAGTAGGCTCAATCATAAGTTTTCTACTAGAGGTTGATAACGAATAGAAAAGAAAAAGACAAGAACAGATAAACATGTATATGCTTATTAAACACATTCATTTGGGATCATAATAAACTCAGAAAAATTAGGTCCACATTCCATGAAATAGGAAAATTATTCCTGTTTCCAGTACTAAAGATACCGGGTCTCCAAACAGAAGTATCCAGCAAACAATGCAAGAATTTTAGTGAGAGTTAAAATTTAACCAAAACACCATGCTTTTAAAAGTCCTCTGATAACTACAGTCATTAACCACTATGATGAGAAAAAGAATTGACAGGACTCTGGCAATTTGTTCTGATGAGAGATTTAAAAAATCTTCTATGCTTCATTGCATTGTTACAAATGTAAAACACATTTATGTTAGTAGGAAATCAAACTCACTGTGTCTTAGGTTTTTAAAATAATAATGTGACAGTCTATTTCCTATTTCTACGGTTATTGTCTTCTCAAGTTATTTTTGTGATTTCAGGCAAAAAAAGTATTATTCTCACTTTATGAATGAGTAAACTGAGGCTGAGTGACTTGTCCAAAGCTTCCCAGGAGTCTCAGAAATAATTTGGGTTCATCTAGACTTTTAGAGCCCAGGTTGGTCTAGATTTGTGTGTTTGCTTTTAGATATCCATAGCCGTATGTTTCTTATGGTTTAAGTTTATCTTGGTCTTAAAATACCTACAGAAGCCAAGTTCCTTGTTGCTCACATACCTTATAAGAACACTCAGAGCACCCAGAGGGGTGACCAAGGTGGCAGGTGCAAAAGCATAAGCAGCAAAATTTGCAGCTTCTCCTGCTCCCACTAGAAAGCAAGCAGAGATATTGACATAAAAAATGGGCTTGCTTGTCAGAAGAGAAAAACAAACGAGTCATGCAAAGCAGTGGACTTTTAACCCAAAGACATGGGAAGATGTAGCTAAAAAGAATGATGTAACGTGTTTTATAGCGGGTAGGAGATAATTAATATTAAGAGATGCAGACAAACTGTAATACCAGGTGATACAAACTCAAAAGATGCAAAAAATGGTGACAGATGAGTACCCATTTTAAATGGCTTTCAATAGAAATTTTTAGCTACTGAAGACACATTTGGTGACTCTGATCAACTCTAGTAGAGGTAGCTTTGTAGTAAGCAGATAATTCTTTCACTTGCTCAAGAATACCTACAGTTTTGTAGGTTACCCACAACCATCAAAACCAGTTTGGAAAATTAGAATGGTTAAACCTGGTGTGTAGATAGGGAATAGCCAGCAATACCTGCCACAATCCCATGAAGTTAGATATGCCTCTATTGTAAGTGATCTACAAGCAAGTAACAGTATCTCAGTAGCTTAACAAGATCCAGGGAGCTGTTTAAAAGTCATGATATGCTCCTGAATGTAATCTTTTTCTTATCCGAGGAACTCTAGACTTGCATGATATAGTGTGCTATAAATAACTTCTAGAGTGAGAGAAATCCCTTCAAGAGCTGGGCTCTTGTACTGGGGCCAAGTTATTCTCACAGAACACAGCTGGAAACTTGCCCACAGAATGTAGTATTTCATGCTGGCAACTACACCAAGCAAATGCTTATTGTAGAGAGAGAAAGGAACACTAGCATAATTTTTTTCTTTTTCCATTTGTCTGGCTGCTATGCTACATCCCCCCAAATCTATAGGAGTACTCACCATTACGAAAACATCATTAAACAAATCTAAACTTACAGAACAGAATAATTAAGACATTGCTCTCATCGAAGGAACCACAGCGAGGCCAGTGACTCATACCTGTAATCCTAGCACTTTGGGAGCTAGATGGGAGCAGATCACTTGAGGTCAGGAGTTCGAAATCAGCCTGGCCAACATGGTAAAACCCCATCTCTACTAAAAATACAAAAATTAGCCAGCTGTGGTGGCAAGCGCCTTTAATCCCAGCTACTCTAGAGGCTGAGGCAGGAGAATCACTTGAATCTGGGAGGTGGAGGTTGCAGTGAGCCACTGCACTCCAGCCTGGACAACAAGAGCGAGACTCTGTCTCAAAAAATAAAAAACTAAACAAATAAAAAGAAAAAAAAAAACAAAGAACCGTGGCAGTTTTCTTGGAATATTAAGGTTTCCTTGGATATTTTATATTATTTATATTTTATCTTTATAAATAGCTTTCCAGGAAAACATTGACTTCATGATTAAAGTACTGTATGTATGTCACTTACTTAATCTCTAAGGTGTGCTTTTCTCTCTTCAATACTGACATAAACATTTTTACATGGTGAAAGCAAAATTGCAAATGTAGTCACATAATATTCTCCTTATCATTTCATTATAAAGTATGGGTAGAGGGTGGGGAGATGCAAGTAAAAGAGAAAAAGAGAATGATCCAAATACCTATCTGGAATCTTCCCAGACAGCCCTGGTCAATTTTTATTCAAATAGATAAAGTGGATGTAAAAGCACCCTAAAAACTGAAGGGGGTGGCCGGGCACGGTGGCTCACGCCTGTAATCACAGCGCTTTGGAAGGCCGAGGTGGGTGTCCTGAGATCAGAAGTTCCAAGACCAGCCTGGCTAACATGGTGATACCTTGTCTCTACTAAAAATACAAAAATTAGCTGGGTGTGGTGATGTGCACCTGTAATCCTAGGTAGTCGGGAAGCTGAGGCAGGAGAATCGCTTGAACCTGGGAGGTGGAGGCTGCAATGAGCCAAGATCGTGCCATTGCACTCCAGCCTGGGCCACAGAGCAAGACTCCACCTCAAAACAACAACAACAACAACAACAACAAAAAACTATAATAAACAAACACTAAAGGGGCTATACATATTTAAATTATTTTCATTAATCACACTTTTAGACTTCACCATTTATTAAAGAAAAGGTACCCAGTTCCTTCCCATAACAGGATCTTACAAATACTGAAATGTGTTGCTTGGTTTGGGGAAATTCAGGGAAGCTTTAAGACTCCTGGCTACAGAGGGAATTTATGATGCCCTTTTTGAGGGGAGCTTCCGTTTTGGGATTTAAGAAATTTCACTTAGTGGGGAGACTGAAGTCAGCAAAAGTGGCTGAGGGAGATGAACACTGCCTTCTATTTGGATATCACATTAGCATTTAGAAAGTGCTTTCAGATCCTACAAAGTCTCGTTTAATCCTCACAGCAGGTCTGGGAGGAAGGAGAGTGCTGACACCCCTCATTTCTTCTCCATTTGTTCAGTACCAAGCAGCCACAGAAGCCTTTCACTTATCCATGTTGTTGTCCTGGCAAGGAAACTGTACTCATTCTTGAGAAAATATGTAGTATATATAGTCACAGGTTCAAATTAGGAGGTGGGAAAACATGAAAGAAAAGTACTTTTCTCTATTGTTATGGTGAAGAAAATAGCAGAAGTCTGTGGTTGAAATACAATATTTGAAAGGTCAACTTTTTCCCTTGCATTCCAAGACAGTACTGAGGGCACAGGTGGTGGGAAATAAGAGTAAAAATTAATTTATTCATATATAATAGTATATATAGGACAATATATTATACCAACACAAAAATTTTTAGGCTTAAATTCCATCCTTGTTCCATTCTTGACAGGAAGATTAACCAATTTTGAAAAATTTCATATAATCTATTTACTGTCTTACAAATAAACAGTATTCTCAGTATTAAAAACTTACTTGACAGCAATCCTACCCACCAGAGCCATTCCTTCAGGTAAGAATGTCCACCTTGTCCTAAAATACAAAAAATAAAAATTAACAAAAAATGGGTTCTACACTGGAGGAAGGTTTGAAGAATTGACTTCTAGGAAGCATACTGGATTATGGTTAGAAAAGTTAAGTCAGTAAACTAAAGTCTCTTAGCTTATTTACTTGGTCATTTCCAAAGCTCTTTTAAAGCTTTTTCCCCCCAATTTACAATGATTTAACAAATCCCCTAATGGATTAATTACATTTAGATTTTTTTCCACGTTTCTCTTATAATGCTCTCATGAACCTCCCTACACATACATCTTTGTAACACTGGAATGATTATTTCTCCAGGATAAATTCCTAGAAGTGTAATTGTTGAGTAGGAGGAAATGGATTTTTAAAAAAAATTGCCCGCCAGAAAAGTTATGTCAATTTTTTTAAAAACTTTGCAAATTTGATAGTCTTAAAATGGTATGTCATTTCAATCTGCATTTTTCTGTTTGCCACCCATTTTATTCTTTTATGAATCAGGAGTTCATTTTTGTTTTATTTTTCCTGATTTTTAAAAGAGATTCGGGGTACAAGTGTAGTTGTGTTACATCAATCTATTGTAAAGTCTGGCCTTTAGTGTATCTATTACCTGAATAGTGAACATTGAACCCAATAGGTAGTATTTCATCCCTCACCTGCTTCTACCCTTTTACCCTCCCACCTTTTGGAATCTCTAATGTCCATTATTCCACTTTAAATGTGCATGTGTACCCACGGTTTAACTCCCACTTACAAGTGAGAACACGCAGCTTTTGATTTTCTGTTTCTGAGTCACTGCACTTAGGATAATGGCCTCCAGTTCTGTCCATGTTGCTGCAAAAGATATGGTTTCATTTCTCTAACAGCTAAGTAGTATTCTATGGTGTCTGTATATAAATAAACCACATTTTCTTTATCCAGTCCTCTGTTGATGGGCACTTAGGTTGATTTCATGACTTTGCTGTTGTGAATAGCGGTGTGATAAACATTTGAGTGCAAGTGTCTTTTGATAAAATGATTTCTTTTCCTCAAGTAGCGGGACTGCTGGATTGAAGGGCAGTTCTATTTTTAGTTCTCTGAGAGATCGCCATATTGTTTTCCACAGTGATTGTACTAATTTACATCCCCACCAACAGAGTATAAGCATTCCCTTTTCTCTGCATTCTTGCCAACATCTGTTGTTTTTTGACTTATTAATAATAGCCATTCTGACTGGTATAAGATGGTATCTCATTAGGTTTTAATTTTCCTTTCTCTGGTGATTAGTGACACTGAACATTTTTTCATATATTTGTTGGTCGCTTGCATGTCTTTTGAAAAACGTATGTTCATATCCTTCACCCACTTTTTTATGGGTTTGTTTTTTTCTTGTTGAGTTGACTGAGTTCCTTGTAGATTCTGGGTATTAGACCTTTGTCAGATGCTTAGTTTGCAAGTATTTTCTCCTATTCTGCAGGCTTTTTACCCTGTTGATTATTTTTCTTGCTCTGTAGAAGCTTTTTACTTTAAGTCACATTTGTCTATTTTTGTTTTTGTTGCATTTCCTTTTGAGGACTTAGTCACAAATTCTTTGCCTAGGCCAATGTCCAGAAAAGTTTTTCCTAGGTTTTCTTCTAGGGCTTTTATAGTTTCAGGTTTTACATTTAAGTTTTTAATCCATCTTGAGTAGATTTTTATGGTCAGATATAAGGTCCAGTTTTGTTCTTCTATATGGTTCTACAATTTTTCTTGCACCATTTATTGACTAGGGCAGCCTTTCCCTAGCATATATTATTTTCAACTTTGTCAAAGATCAGTTGGTTGTAGGTATGTGGCTTTATTTCTGGGTTCTCTATTCTGTTCCACTGATCTATGTGTGTATTTTTATACCAGTACCATGCTGTTTTGGTTATGATAGCCTTACAGTATAATTTGAAGGTACTGTGATACCTCCAGCTTTGTTCTTTTTGCTTATGATTGCTTAAAACTTTCTGTATTATGCTTCCGTGTCACCTTTGCTTTTCCACAAATGATAAGTTTTTCTTAATTTGTAAGAAATTTTATTTAATCATCAGGTTCACCGTATTTACGTCAGTCAGATGTGTGGACACAAATACTTCATTTCAGCTATGGTTAAAATTAAAAACAGAAAACATAAATAGTAAATTACATTGGTACTAATGAGGACTGTAAAGGGAAGAAGATGGTTGACATAAGAGCTTTTGAGAGTTTGGATTAGTCAATGAGAGAATAACAAGCATCAGGTAGATGCACTCTGCTTATTTTCTACCTTGTCATACTGAAATCAAGTTTCTGTTTCATCTACTGAAAAGGACAAAATGCTTTTAAGGTATTCAAAGGGTTATCTTCCTACTACTCTAATCTATAACTTTATGTCATTATATTTACTATAGAAAATGGAATTTTCTTATGAATTTTAATATACTTAGCCCTCTGCATTTGACCTAATTGATTTTGTTATAATTAAACAGGATATATATGCTATGAAGACTATTTTGCAAAGTAGTTAACTGTGCTTATTTAGGACTTTCTCCTTAAGAAATTGGCAAATAACTAACTTGGAATCATATTACAACCCTGGACCTGACTATTGTCTAGTTGGTATCTCTTTGGGTACTAGCGAAACAATATTTATTTATGTATGTTTATTGATCATTACATTTGCAAATAACTAAGTTGGAATTATGTTACCACACAGAACCTATTGTCTAGTTGGTATCTCTTTGGGTACTAGTGAAACAATATTTATTTACATATGTTTATTGGTCATTTGCATTTCTTATTTTGTTTGTTTCTTGTTTATATGCTATGTCTATTTTCTGTTAGGGTACTAACCTTTTTACTTATTGACTGCAGTTACTTTTTATATATTATGAAACTATACTTTGTCACATATTTCATCATATTTTCCCCAATACATCATTTACTTTTTAGTTTCAGTTTTTAAATTTTTTCCATATAGGATTTTTTTCTCAATCTAGATAATCTCTTCCTTTATATAAAATGAATTCTTTATCTTTATGCTTAGAAAAGGTTTTTTTTTTTCCGATTATTTCAATTTTTTGGCCAGGCGCAGTGGCTCATGCCTGCAATCCCAGCACTTTGGGAAGCCGAGGCAGATAGATCATCTGTCAGGAGTTCGAGACCAGCCTGGCCAACATGGTGAAACCCTGTCTCTACTAAAAACACAAAAATTGGACGGGCGTGGTGGCGGGCGCCTGTAATACCAGCTAGCTACTCAGGAGGCTGAGGCAGGAGAATCACTTGAACCTGGGAGGTGGAGGTTGCAGCAAGCCAGAGATCATGCCATTGCACTCCAGACTGGCCGACAGAGCAAACCTCTGTCTCAAAAAAAAAAAAAATTATTTTTATATTAAATTCTAACCTATCTGGAATGTATTTTGCTGAATGGTGTGAAGTAGAACTTTCATGTTTTTCTCCTCTAATTTTTCCCAATTGTCTCAATACTTGGAATGATTTGTCCTTTCTCCACAGTTTTGAAATGCCACTTTTTAAAATAACAAATTCAATTGTTATATATACTTGGGTCTGCTTATAAGTTTTAAATTATTTTATGATTTTGTCTGCTTTAATGCCAGTATCAAATTGTTTTAATATAGCATATGTTTTCTGATAGTACAAATCTCATCTCAATAGTACTTTTATAAGCTTGCTTGTGTAATTTATAGTCTTTAGTTTTTTTCCATATGGATGTTAGAAAAATGCTTAGATCTTAAAGTATACTTGATGAAAATGAATAGAAAACTCATTGTTAATGAAGGAATATTCAGGCAGACCTACTCAGCATCTTAAATGTCACTATAAATAGCAGCCTAATTCTATTGTTGTCCATTTATTGATTTAATAAATATCTATTAGGTGCCAAACACTGCTAGGGAAGGTTCCCGTTCTTGAGAATCTACTATCAATAAGCAAGTAAACCTATCAACAACAATAAAGAATACATGTACAACTAAAAATTATCCTAGGTACAGTGAGGGAAACTATTAGTGCAATGACAGAGAATAATGGGGGTGGGGTGGGGAGACCTGCTGTTAGAGAATGGTCAAGGAAGGCCTTTATGAGGTGATGCTACTCACACTGAAGTCTGAAGAATGAGTCAGCTGAATGAAGGGCAGGGAGAAGAGTTCCAGGCAATGGGAAAAGACCTGCGGGTGGGACAGAACCAGACCTATTCCAGGAACAAGAGAAAAGTAGGTGATGGGGAGAAAAGCAGAAGTTGGAGAGGTGGCAGAGATCAGACACTGGGAGACACAGCTGACTCCATCAAGAAGATAGAGACTAAGATAAACCAAGCCAGTGAGTTATTATTACTGTAGCCTAGGATAATTTTTAGTTGTACGTGTATTCTTTTTTATTGCTGAAAGGTTTACTTGCCTTGATAGTAGATTCTCAAGAACAGGAACCTTCCCTAGCAGTGTTTGGCCCCTAATAGATATTTATTAAATCAATAAATGGATAACAATAGAATTAGGCTGCTATTTATAGTGACACTTAAGATGCTGAGTAGGTCTGCCAGACTATCCCTTCATTAATCATGAGTTTTCTATTCATTTTAATCAAAGACCTAAGTATTTTTCTAACATCCATATGGAAAAAATCAATAACTATAAATTACACAAGCAAGTTTATAAGAGTAGTGTTGAGATGTGGCCTTATAACAGGATCATTTCTGCAGTTAGAAACTTAAATTCATTGGTTGTATGTGTTTCTTACCAGCTCTAGTAACACCCTTGCTGGCCAGTTGCAAGAGGCCCTTCTTTTTCAGGATGAAGCTGGAGCCAATAAAAATACTTGAACTTACTGCCAGTACCAAGCCCACATAAAGACTGTATTTGTTTTCTACATTTGCTGAAATGCTCAAGTTGTTTATGCTGGAATTCAGGTCTGTGTAGAGCACAGGAGAAGCCAGCAGCTGTGACACATTTGTGATCTCACACCAAGCCTGGAAGGAGTTTGGACAGACCAGAGACAGCACATATCCTGGAAAAAAGGAAAGAAGAGAATGTCAGGAATGAAAGGGAGAGGTATTAAGGCTTACTGGCTTTCTGCAGGAAACAGAGCCTTGAGTGGATGGTACTGAAACATTTTACTACATGCAGGGAAGTCCTTAACAGGTGGCCCACAGGCCCACAGACATTGTCAAATTGGCTTGCACAGATTTTTAAAAATGATTTTAAAGTGTTTAGCTGTCATCACTTAAAAATGAGCAATTTCACATGGAAGCCTGGATTCCCCCTATAAATTCGATCTGGCAACACTTGTGTCTCTGTTCTGGCGAATCAGCAACTTGATGGAGCAGCGAATAGCTGTTCAGACCTGGCTTGTGCTCAACAGTTCAACACAGCCTGTCACATCCCCTTCACTCTGCATTATCAGCCTGGCTACTGGAAAGCAGGGCTTGTGGGGCCTGAATGTAGGGAGGAAGCATAGCACCCTCAGTCTAGAAATCACATTGCAAGAAATCTATTCGCTAGGTGTGGTAGCTCACACCTGTAATACCAGCATTTTGGGAGGCCAAGGTAGGATGATTGCTTGATCCCAGGAGTTTGAGACCAGCCTGGGCAACATAGTGAAATTCCATCTACATAAAAAAAAATTGAAAAATTAACCAGGCATGGTGGTGCATGTCTGTGGTCCTAGCTACTCGGGAGGCTGAGGTGGGAGGATTGCTTGAGCCCAGGAGGATGAGGCTGCAGTAAGCTGCGATCACACCACTGCACTCCAGCCTAGGTAACAGAGCAAGACCCTGTCTCAAAAAAGAAAAAAAGAAAAAAGAAATTGGCTGGGCATTATGGCTGTAATCCCAGCACTTTGGGAGGCCAAGGTGGGTGGATCACTTGAGATCAGGAGTTCGAGACCAGCCTGGCCAACATGGTGAAACCTCATCTCTACTAAAAATACAAAAATTAGAGGGGCATGGGCATGGTGGTGCGTGCCTGTAGTCCCAACTACTCTGGAGGTGGAGGCAGGAGAATCACTTGAACCTGGGAGGCGGTTGCAGTGAGCTGAGATCGTGCCACTGCACTCCAGCCTGGGTGACAGAACGAGATTATCTCCAAAAAAAGAAGAAGAAGAAAGAAGAAGAAGGAGGAGGAGGAGGAGGGAAGAAGGAGGAAGAAGAAGAAAGAAGAAAGAAGAAGAGGAAGAGGAAGAAGAAGAAGAGGAAGAAGAAGAAGAGGAAGAAGAGGAAGAAGAAGAAGAAGAAGAAGAAGAAGAAGAAGAAGAAGAAGAAGAAGAAGAAGAAGAAGAAGAAGAAGAAGAAGAAGAAGAGGAGGAGGAGGAAGAAGAAATCTGTCTAACTATTTTGGTGGGGTGTGAGTCATTTGATGGGCATGAAGAATTATATATTTCAGAAAACGTTTTAAAAGTGAGTTTAGTTTTCTGTACCAGTTTCACTGATTTTTCAGGTCTATTAATACACTGTCTCCTAAAGAAAATAGAATCTAATAAAAAATGAATTAAGTATCATTAGGTTTTTTAAAAAATGAGATTCAAAGAAGTATGTAAATCCCCTGAACCAAGTCCACTATTATAGATGTCTTGGAATTTTGAGGCTAAACACTAAAACACAAAATGAAAACAAAATGAAATGAAGTTTTACACTATGTAAGAAATTTTTGTAATCTGTTCTCCACTCGAAAAGACACTAACAAGGTGACATTGTGACAAGATGTTCTGTCTTCCCATCTTTTTTCCTTTAAAAATGGCAAATTCTCCCATTATGAATTACCCTAAACAAAAGAGGGTAAAGGAAAATTAATCAGATACAATTTTGTAATTCAATTTTTAGAAAAGTTTTACATTTCAAAAATCTTAAGGCATATAAGCAACAAAAGGCTGTTTGATCAAATGATGTCTTAGCAACAAGACTTCCATAAGTGGACCTATATACCTCTGGCAAAGCTTCATGAAGCCACCTGAATTTTACCACATGCAAAGTTAAGAAACACCCATGAAGTTCAGGTCTGGAAAATAATAAAATAATGGAATTCAAGGTTTTCATAACTATTATTTAATTTATTTCTGTAATTTGAAAATGACCCAACTTTGCTTCAGAAATCCAGAATAGTTGGACATGGTGTCCCACCCTTGTAATCCTAGCACTTAGGGAGGCAGAGGCTAGAGGTTTCCTTGAGCACCAGAGTTCAAGACCAGCCTGGGCAATATAGCGAGATCTCCACAAAAACAAACAAACAAAAAAAACAAAACAAAGAAACAGAAATCCAGAATAAACTCAAAGTCAAAACTAAATATTCTAACTGCTGCAAATTTTCATTTCTTTTTTTTCTGAGACAGGGTCTCACTCTGTCACCCAGGCTGTAGTGCAGTGGTGCCATCACGGCTCATTGCAACCTTGACCTCCTGGGTTTAAATGATCCTCCCACCTTAGCCTCCCAAGTAGCTGGAACCACAGGCATGCACCACCATGCCCAGCTAATTTTTAAATTTTTTTTTGTAGAGATGGGGTCTCACTACATTGGTCAGGCTGATGCTGCAAATTTTCAAGCAAGTTAGCCCTTAGCAATCTTGTTCCACACCACGTTTATCTCATTTAAGCCCCAAGAAGGGAAAGTGATTAAGTATATTTTTGTAAGAATTTTGATTACACTCATTCCTGAGAAAATATCGGACCTGACTTACCAGTGAATTCCATGACTGCATTCATGTCATTTACTATGCAGTTAACATAACCATTCTAAAACTTTGTCTCTGAAATCAGTGTGGGTGGATCTCATTCCAGTGAAACAATATTCCTTCTAAGTTGTTGACATAGCAAAATGTTTCTGACATTGTAGGGGGTGTGGGAGCAGAGGGTCATAAGGAAGATCAAATGATCACTGTTGCATTTTGCAAGTTCTCATTGTAACTGGCAGGCATGAATGCTCCAAGTTTTATGGCAGGAAAAATAATAAAAATCTTGTCTGGTTACTGACCTTAGGACTTAAATTGTTTTATGCTTTGGGAACATGTTAGGGAGAGAGCCTGCGGCAGATATGACTGAAAGAGGAAAGAAAGGATGGGTTAGTGGATGTGGAGTGGCCTACGGGAGAAGGGGAGAGATGGGTAATGGAAGTTGTGTGGGCAGGGAATTTGGAGTGTTTTAAAGGAATCAAAGACATCTCAAGTCACAATTGGCTTATCAAGATTCAAGTAAGCACAGTAATTTTCCAGGGAGTTTAATGTAGACTTTATTCCACAGAAAGAGAACATCTACTACATTCATTATTTTTCATTTTTAATAGACACCATCAATAGTCCTCTAAAGTGACTATACCAAGGTATACTCTTGCTAGCCAAGAACATGTATTTCTTCTTTGATGTTATTTTTCTAAATAGAGAGTAATGAATATTTAGGAAATATATGTTATAAATATATATATATACACCAATGTATCAAACAGCTAATTTAAGAAATAAAGCATCACCCCTCAGAGTTCATAACTATCCTGATTTTCTCTTTAACATTCTTTTGCTTATAAAAAAGATTTTCTCCATATATCTTGAAAATGTTTTTGCCTCTTTTTGCACCTAAGAAAATGTAATGATAAAGACATTGTTCTTCGGTGACTTGTTTTCGAGATTCATCAAGACATGATGCATGTGGCTGTAGGATTTGTTTTTCCCCCACTGTTCTAGAGAATTCCACTGTATATCACACAATTTTTCTATTTTATAGTTGGTTGATAAGTAATTTACAGATCCTACAAACAGTACTCCTAATGTTCTTCTATTATGTTGAACTATATGAAATTGATAACTGAAAAATTTGAACCCTATGACAAGTAGTTTCATATAGATCAACCTAATATTTATCTTCTACGTACAGGTGTAATAGTTTACATACACACAACTTTAACATTTAAAAATGAAGATCTACCATCTATAATCATGGGCAAGTTGAGTAATGGCTCTTGGTTTCAGTTTCCCCATCTGTAAAATGAGGGACTTTGACTCAGTGATTCTAAAGTTTGATCATAATCTATGTTTGTTCTCAGAATTACTTACATACTGGTGCCTCATAAATGTTGCTGATGGACCAGTTCTAAACTCATAGACACTGACAGACGGGAGATAGTTTAAAGAAACTGATGCCAATATATTAAGTGACACTGGCCAAAGTTATGTAACTGCTAAAACCAGGGCCAAGTAACCCAAATCCCATCCAGCATTCTATTTCAGAAAAATAAAAACATAAAGTACAAGAAAAAGCCAGTTGAAATTTATTATTCATTTATATGAGGATGAAATGCTTTAAATAATTTGTCAAATATTTGCCTATAGAGAATAATAATATAAATAATAATTTAAATGGTCCAGTTTATTACATGGAATAGAAATCTGGTTTTAAGAAAGTCAATGATTATATAAAACTACCTTTTTAATCACTGCAAGATATTTCCTGTTGGGGGTCTCACCATCTATTCTACTGTGATAGTTTGGATTATTATTCATTCAATATTCCGCCTCTTACCCTTCCCAATGTGGGCAAAGGTGCTTCACTTGATGTTGGGCTGAAAGTGATTTGGTGGCCAATGGGATGTCAGCAGAAGTGATATGAAGCTAGATTTCAAAAATGCTTATGTGGTTGGGTTTACTCATTTGCATCTCTGTAATTCCCTGAGGAGTTGCTCTACATTCAGCCTCAGCACTCAAATGAAGACACATGGAGCAGATCTGAGCTCATCCCACATGAAGGAGCCAAACCCAGGTGGACGTGTAGCCTGAAGCAGAGACACATAGGTGAGCCCCATCTAGGTCAGTCAACCTTCAGTTGACCTAGAAACCTAAGCAAGAATATGTGATATACCTGCCTATTCATATTAGCATAGGAATGACTGAATGAAATCTCTTTATGTCTGGTACAATTTATTCTCCAAACACTAATCAGTGGGAAGTAGGTTATATCACTCCCTGGCTTAATCCTCCTTGTCCCCTGTCATGGTTTTTCATCTTAACAAAATCTTAACTCCTCACTAACTTTGAACTTTAAAGCTTCTCATG